AATAAGAGATAGCTAAATCCTCAACAAAATTTAAAAAAAATGAATTACAAATATCAATGCAAATAATTATAAACATGAATTTAAATGTTAAATTAATTATTATATTTAGAATTTAATTATCTTATTTGCAATTGAAATTTTAAATTAACAAATATTTAAATTGATATTTACAACTACCTTTTCAAAAAAAAATTGTTAGGATCTAACTGTCATCAATTTTCTTTTTTGTGACTTAACTGTAGTGCCGAGAGAGTCCTCATCATCTGTATTTAGGCTTTATTTGAATGGAGGGAAAAGCAAAAAAAAAAAAGTAGAGAGAAAAAAAACTATGAGGAGAAATTTTTAAAAATAGTAATTTTTTTTAAACTATTTTCAAAGGTTTTACCTCCTAATTTTCTTTCACCGTTCTTCACGTGCAAAAAAAGGTTAGTCTTGGGTACTTGTGTATAGTGTAATTAGTAGTTAATTAGACGCTAACAATTAGTTACAACTAATATTAACTACCAAACATTTCTAAAAATGATAATCGTGGCCTTGGTCTTAAAACCATTGACTTATTCAACAAAGCTTTAGAGTACAGGATTATTCATTAAGAACAATTTTTATATGACTTCAAATGTCATGAGAATCATTTTGAGATACCCATTAAATATTTTATAATATCCAACATTTGCATGTGGCAACTACAGATAAAACTTTTCCCTTGACCTGACCTAATGGTCAATTAGAATTGAAAGTCAAATTATAAGTTTGATTTTCAGCAGCTTTGGCTATTAAGCAACCCCAGATATGGCTTATGAGATCCTTTTCGTTTCTAGAAGCCAACCAGCATATAGTAACTTGCACGCATTATTTATCTATCTTTGCAAGTAATTTAATGGAGAGAGATTCGATGGTTTCAGCGAATTTTGTCCATCGTGATGTAAATTACTAATGTTAATTGTCACACAGAATTATTCTCTTTTTAAAAAGCTAGCTGATTAATAGAGTATATAGTGTACCTGCTTATATATTCAAAGCTCTCCCCAAGTTCTTCCAATGTCAAATGTAACAATTTTTCTATCCAATCCGTGACACCTCTATCATGGGTGACTCACTAAAAAGGGCTCATCAACTGAACAAATTTAGGTCCGACTCTAATATCACTTTGTCATAGGACTATTACTCTTTTTTAAAAAAAAAAAACTAGTTTAATGGGATGTATAGTGCACTTGCATATACTTAGGACCCTTCCCAAGTCCTTTCAATGTGGGACAACATAATGCTCTGGCTAGAAAGGCTCATGACTTTGAAAGAATGCATTAAGGGCTCATTTGGATGCAAGAAATGAATGCAATGCAATGGATTGAAAAAAATAAAAACAAAAATAAAATGATCAAAATGTGAAGGGCATAGGTGAATTATATTCATAAGAATGAATGATAATTTAGTTCATAGAATTGAAAATCATGATTTATAAGATTTGTAGAGGGTGTGATAATTTCTACATTTGTAGTATATAGTATTAAGTTTTATCTTACTTATCATGAGGGGAAAGAATGATTTAGTTCATTCATATTTTAGTTTTTTCAATCTATTCCATTCTCATCCTTTATAACAACCAAATGGGACCTATATTTATTTTAGGGAGAATTACGTTGAAATATCACGTAAGAGAATTAATTACTACAAGGTTCATTAGCAACTAAATTAAGAAAAATAACAACACATTATGTTATCAATGACCTTAATTTAGTTATTAATAGATATTGTAGCAATTAATTTTTTTGTATGAGAGAATAGATATTGTAGCAATTAATTTTTTTTGTATGAGACTTATATGTAATTCTACCTATCTTTTGTCATTCCCCATCTTTTTAAACAAGAGAAGGTGAATGGTGAATAATTTGTTCTCTCTTTTAGTTTCTTGAATACTTAGTAATTTCATTTTTAAGAATGCATTTCAGTTTGATTATAAAAAAAGTAATGCAAGGAAACATGAAACAAATATTATAGTTCCCAACGTGATGAATTTAAATTCAAATTTTTACTAAAAAAAATACTCAAATGTTATTGCTTGACCATATTTTGAATAGGATATACTTATATCCAATAACAAAAAATCTTAGACTTAGATAGTCAAGATGTATCAATAGGATGGAGAGTTGAAGCAAAAACCTCCTCCTTCATCTTTGAATTACAAGAGCAAAGTCAAAAAAAACTAGAGATGACAAGCAAGTGTGACCCCTCACATACAGATAGGCTTTCATGCCATCAATACTAAAAAGATATAGACATTGGCTTCAAACAAACCTTCTATCCGAAAAAGGGGAAAAAAAAAAAAACAAAACAACAACAACAACAACAGACAATACTAATGATGACCAATGGGAACTATATCTAATCCCAACCTTGGACCGCAATGGATTTTAGCGTCAGAAACAACAGAGAGCCAGAGAGCAACATGGCTTTCCGTTTCTTATACACTCGCTTGTGGGTCTTGTGACATAACATTCCAGCAATATTATTAGATCTCATATGTGGATTAAGGAATTCATGTCATTTTGATTGTCCCTATGGATATGGAGTAAAGTAAAGTAGTAAACACACGACAAAGTTACCAAGATGCTACAAAAAAAAAATTACCTAAGTACTACATTTTACAAAATATTTACCTAAATATTGCAAATCCAAAAATTGACATATATCAAACCGATTTTTTAAAATATTCTAACACACAACTCAGCTTGCATGGAGCCTAGTTGTGTGTGAGATTATTATTTTTCTTTAAAAAAAAAGAGCATAGGGCGACAAGCACTGACAATCTAATACTCAATCCCCACTTCCCCTAAATTCCTGGACCAGGGGTCTCTCCATTTTTTTTCCTCCCTTTCTCTCCACTTTTCCCATCCCCACCATTCAAAATTTTTTATTAAATAATTTTTTAAATGATAAAATTAATAAATGGTGGGGATGAGGGAAGTAGAGGGAAATGGAGAAAAAGGAAGTGGAGAGACCTCACTTTCTAAATCCCCTACGTCTCTTCTTATTTTCTCCCAACCAATCCTTTTCTTGACCAAAAAAATTTCCTCTTTCTCCTTAATTTATATCTATATATATGTATATATATATTTATATTATATATATGTGTGTGGTGTGTGTGTGATTATAAAAATAACTAATACATAATTAATATATATTCCATAAATAAATATAACAAATAATATAGAATAATATGAAATAAATATATTATGGAATATATCATCCATCTTAACTATGTTTTTAGAATATATCTTAAAAATAATTTATCTAATATATTAATTATATATTATGAAAAAATTCCCTCTGAAAATATTAAAAATAATAATAACTATTAAAATTATTTTTAATTATTATTTTTATTTGATAATCAGAAAAAAATTAATTTGCATGTCCTTCTAATTTTGATGATTTTTGAATTAAGTTTTTGTGGTTTATTTTGTTTTAACCAAGTCTTTAAAATTTAATCAATTAAATATATTAATTTTTAAGGATTAAAATCCTTGAATATTTTTCTTTTTTAAAATAAAATTATGGACTTCTATAATTTTATTAAAAGATTATGTAACATTAGAGCTAATCACATAATTTTTATAACTCAAAATTTCTATAATTAAATTATGCTTTTTAAATAAATTTTTTGTATAAAAAATTATCATAAAAATCAATAACAATTTTAACATTGTATAAAATCAACTTTTCTTTCTACTTTTTCGACTATATTAAGTCAAATTTTTTTTTTATGAATTTTAAGAGTTTTTTGTTTAAAAAATTTAGTCATTCCTTAATAATTTTAACATTCAGGAACTAATATATTTCATTAATTAAATTACAAAGACTTGATTAACATAAAATAAATTACAAGAATCAAATTTGAAGTCAAAATAAAATTAAAAGGATCTGCATATTAATTTTTTTAATAATAATAAATGAGTGTATAATATATATTTAATATTGAAAATAAAAATAAAAAATATATATTATATTTATTATTTGAAATATATATACTAATAAATATATGAATATTAATTTGTTATATATGTACATTTATTTATAATATATATTATTATGGAAGGGGGGATTGTTTTCTGGAAGAAAGAAAAGGTGGGAGTGGAACAATAGGCTAAGTAGGCGACAGGAATGCATTTAACACACGTTGCCTTCATATATATCAAGTTATATGTCAGAATATTATGAAAAAATCAGTTTGGTTGATGTCAATTTTTAGATTTATAGTGTTTCGATAAATATTTTGTAAAGTGTAGTACATGAGTAAATTTTATTTTTTGTTGTAGCATCTAGGTAAATTTGTCTAAACACACTTTATAATGAACAGGAATGCATAATTAAAGCCCCTTATAATTGACAACTAGAGTAAACATATACAATGGATGCAATGTCAAATTAAGCTTGATTCTACACACATCCATCCAATTATATTCTGAAACTAGAGCAAAAGACACCGCCATTATCACTTAATTATCTGAAATCAACATGAGAATGGACACAAAGCACCAACATTTCACAGTTTTGGTCATCATGCATACCCACCAAATTATGTTCGGTCAAACAGGAATAAAGCTTGAAACTTGATCCTCTTCAAGTATTTTATTAAACACTAAACATGCATTCCTATATAAGAGGTAGATTCCAAGGTTGCCTTACCAATTTGAGACCTTGTAGCCAAAGCAAGACCTGCAAATTCCTGCCATATATATTCACTAGGCAAATCTAAACAGTTCAAAACCCAAACAAATAAATCAGTAGGAAATGATATTTGACCATATGAACTCGTTAGTGAGACCAGGAGTTAAAGTAAAATCATGCAAAACAAGAGCATTGGATCCTTTATTGAACTTTTATACTGTCTACTGGGTTTGCCTCCAACACACATTGCTTGGCCCAAATTTACACTCACGCAAAATCCAATGCCTACACTTTTTGGCCCAGAAAGAAAGAGAAAAACGATAAAATAAACAGAGAGATATTTAATTCCTCCCCTGGACCCGGAGCACGATGGTGCTTAAATCAACGAACGAGTTTAGCCTCGCGGATCAAATCAAAGTGAGGGATCGAAAATGGCTTCACGTTCCGAAGAAGAGACCTCCTCCTTAGCCTCACAAATCTGCAACCATATCGCCTCCATATTCTCCAAGCCCACCACTCCCTACCCACCACCGTTGGACCTCCTGGTCACCGAGCTCGCCGTCATCGCTGCTCGAAACGGCACCGTTTTCCTCTACGGCGTCGGCCGCGAGGGCCTCATGCTCAAAGCCCTCTGCATGCGCCTCGCCCATCTTGGCCTCTCCACTCACTTTGTTTTCGACATGACTACGCCTCCCATCACCGCCGGTGACCTCCTCATCGCCTCCGCCGGCCCCGGCGGCTTCTCCACCGTCGACGCCCTCTGCTCCGTCGCTCGATCATACGGCGGGAGAGTTTTGTTGCTGACGGCCCAGCCGGAGATTGGGTCGTGCGTGAAGCACGCGAACGTGGTGGCTTACGTGGCGGCACAGACGATGGCCGACGATAAGGAGGATGGGGAGGTGAAATCACGACCGTTGCTTCCGATGGGGAGTGTGTACGAAGGAGCTTTGTTTGTGTTGTTTGAGATGGTAGTATACAAGTTGGGTGAAACCTTGGGTGAGAGTCCTGAAGCCGTCCGATCTCGTCACACTAATCTGGAATAAGTAGAAGATAACATGAAGGATCGCGTCCAATGACTAATATAAGATGTGTTGTTAAACTGAAAATACGTACCTGTTATTTTTCGAATGGATGTGTTGTAGTCCTTATCCATAAATAAATTTCTTGTCAAGTGAATCCGATTCTTCAAAAATAATATCTCACCCTCTCGGTTTTTTTTTTTTATACCCTGAAAATAATTTTATCTGATGTTGCTCTTTTTCTGGGCGTTTCAGTCTTTTGGTGTGTTGATAAAATAATAATTATACTATACATATGGGTTTTAGTTTTTATAAATCCCTTCATTTAAAAAAAAAAAAGGAGAATCATATATATAAAAAACCATAATTACTCTATAGGTCCAACATGTCTCAAATTTAATTATTTTTGAAGTGAAAGACTGAAATACCTTTAATGAGTGAGAATATATGTGCCAAAAAAAAAAAACAACAGAAGGTCTATATGTAATAAGAAAAATCCAATGATTTACGATAAGAAATTTATTTTTTAAAACGAATCTATGTGAATTTATAATTGTACTCGAGAAAATTTAAAAGAACCAAATAAAATTAATAATAGAAGGTCACTAAAAAAAATCTAATTATTTACAATAAGAAATCTTTTTATTTACAAGAATCCATGTGAATTTACATTTATAATTGAGAAAATTTTCAAATTAACAATAGAAGGCTTGTAAATGCCAAGAAAAGCTTAATTATTTATAACAAGAAATCCTTTTATTTGCAAAAGTCCATGTGGGTTTGCACTTCATACTTCAAAAATTTACAAGTTAACTGAGAAACATTAATAGCGAAAGGTTCATAAAATAATAAGAAAAAAAAATCACATTAAAAAGATCAATTATTGCCAAAAATTCATGTTGGTTGACATGTGCTTGAGGAGAAAATTTGCAAGTTAATTAAAAAAATAATAATAATTAAAATTTCATAAATAACAAAAAAATTTAATTATTTACAATAAAAAGTCTATTTGTTTACACAAATTTATGCGTGTTTATATTTAAAACTTTTTACTTGTCAAAAGAAATTGGGTTATTTCAACAACAAAAATAATAACACTTAAAGTATTTGGGCCTACAAAATATACGATAATTTATTGGGCCTATAAAGGAATCATGTTCCTTGGGTGAGTCTTATATATGATTCTACCAAAAATAAATATATCATATAAATAGGCCAATCAATTAACTAATAAGTTGAATGGTCCAGGTTAAAAAATGCTTGCTTTATTTAGGTTGCAAAAAGTGCAACCCAAATTCTTCCCAAAAAATTGAGTAATGACTTGGGTTAACTTATTTAACTTAAATCATAGATCTCCACTCTTAAGATGTATTTAAAAAAAAAAACCAATAATTTGTGACAATGTTGATAGTTATTTTATTTAATTTCTAAGACCTAAAATCAAATTAAATTTATTTTCTGACTATTAATTCATTGCATATATATATATATATATATATAAAGCTATCTTGTAGAGCAACCCTTTTAAGTTTTATCATACTCAATTAGTTTTTTCCCCTTGCCCCCCCCCCCCCTCCCACCTTTTATTTACCAGCATTCCCTTGGCCTTTTTTAGCTTTAGGACATAAGCCTTTTTTAAATTTGAGAACATACTAAGCTTATGGGAATCTTTTAACAGCTGATTATAACAGACAAGGAGATGACCAACAATTTATATCGTTTTACCTTTCGTCAGATATTATGTTCATGCCAAACATATGGATTAGATTCATTGACCTTTTTAAGTTAATTATTTAAATAAAAAATTTAAATAATTATATAGATATTCCATAACTATAGTATCTTTTAGAAATTGGCTTGACAGGCGCGCGCACACATGCACGAAATAAGTAAATATCCTTGATAGTTGACATCTTCTACATACAAAAGTTGTCAAAATTCCACACCGAAGGGTTTCCGTCAAATTGACTTTTTGATTACAATCAAAATTTTGCTAACAATAACATATTTATTAGTATCTGTTCAAAAAAAAAACATATTTAGTAGTAATTATTTACAACAAACGTGCTACCAAAATTAAGCAAACACGCAGAAACTATTGATTTGATGATACGACTTACTGGTTAGATATTCCCTTTAATTGATTTACAAACTTGGCTGCGAATTTAACATCACATAATTTGAATTTCATTCATATCACTCCTTCCATTCTTGTTAGTCTCTTGTTGAAAATTTTCTTATATGTTTAATTTATTTTGAAAAATTCATAAGTAATTGACACACACTCTCCTTCTTATCAATATTATAAGGAATTTTTTAAATGTTAAAAAATATAATACATTTTGGGTTTTTCAAATTGTAATTAATAATTCTTTTAAAAATATCTTTAATTAAGAGGGTAATTAATAAGGTTTTATAATTGAGATGTCCTATTAAATAAAGTAAATATGAAAAGAATATGAAATTTTAAATATCATTGACTAATTTATTTGAGGTAAAAATTAGCTAAAAGTATCTTATACTAGACAGAGGAAATTTATATTTATGCCTCTCGTTAAATAACTAATTAGAGAGGAGATGGAGGCTTCAAAACCCAATATGTTAATCATCAAAACATATTCTCTTACTCAAGATTAACAAAAATGCCCATTAATGCACTCAATCCCATCTAGGGTATTAACTTTTTTCACGGGCAGAAAATGTACAACAATTATACAATTTTCGGTATATAGAAAAATATTTGGATTAAAGTGTTAATTTATCTTTTAACTTTTTTTAAGTGCGCTAGACACCTTTAAATTACAGTTAAAACAGTGCTATCCCTCATGTATTAAAAAAAGAAACAATGTTGTCACTCCGTTAAATATTCATTAATTTGGCCGTAAGTTGATTAAAAAAAATTATGGAGAATGATATAAAAAATTACATAAAAGATCCAAAAAATTATAAAAAAGGACCTTGTGAAAAATTAATACTAATTGAATTCTCTAAATTACAAATAAATTCCAATACATTAATGTTATTTGTTACTCATATAAACAAGGTTGTTAAACTTGAGAGTTTAAATAAATATGTGATGAAAATGTAAACTCATATTGTAAACATAAATTGTAAACTCATAAAAGTTTACATCTATTGATAAATAGCTGTTAAAAGTACATGATTAAATAATTAAAATACAAAATATGATCATATAAAATTTGATATAAATATACTTCAAATCTAAGTCATTGAAATTAAATACATCTACATTGATAAATTATCACACTCAACATTAAAAATTTTAAAATAGGGCAACTTATTTTTTATTTCTTTTTTTATTACTAACATTTTTTCTTTTTTAGCTTTATTTTTGTTTTAATTGGATCTTACCACTTCTATAAACTGAATTATACATAATATATATATAACTCATTTAACTTGATAAAAAATTGATGGGTTTAATGAGTTTAACTTTATAGATTTGAAGAAGTAATAGACATAGAATCAAATCTATATTAACCCATTCAGTCATTCTTATATCAATTCTTAGAAATAGAGATAAAATATGGAAGCGTACCTAAATTCATCGTTTGTTTTGATATTAGAGTATGTGAATGAATGGGTGTGTTTTTTGGATTTATTACCAAAGGAAATTCTGAATGTTTTCAAGAAGAGGGACTAGAGAACGTTCTGACTGACTGGCCAAAGTAGTGACCGCAAACCCTATTTATAGAGTTAATAGGTTTGTGATATTTATGATTTAGCCCCTAAATAAATCATAAACATCACCTTGGTTTCTATATATTTATTATTATACCCTTAAGTCTTAAAACTTTAATCCAAATAGATCACTTTATTTAGAAATATTAAATAATGGCCACACATTTTTAATATATACATGTGTGGTCTCATAGGTTGAATCTTATTTCCAACAATCTCCCACTGGGCTACATATGTAAATCTTGATAAAAATACATTTATCCTTATAGGCTTAAAATATATGCCATTATATATACAGGGTATAAACAATTTGGTCTATTGACTGGATCAATAAAGGATCAAAGATGCTTTACTCATAAATCACAATGACTAGGCCTGGTCACATATGCCAATACAATCAATGACACAGATCAATCATAGATATGTAGCATGAGAAATTACATGCAATGTGATCTATACATGTATATTTCCAATTAGCTATCCTTACTTCAGTGAGATGATCACTTCAACATAATATAATAGAATGAAATGTAGTAACTTAATACTGCATAAATTTATTCCTGATCAGAAAATACACTTTAGCATAAAGTAGTCTTACATTGAATACTATATACTCCCACTATACTAGGATATCCTCAAGCATAATAATGCCTATACGAGAAACATGCTCCAAAAAGAACTTCAGTTCTAATCCTTTTGTAAATAGATTCGCTAACATAGATTTTGACCTTATGTGTTCAATGAATATCTGTCCATTCTGTACTCTTTCTGTCACAACAAGAAACTTAATGTCTATGTGCTTTGACTTAGATAAACTCCTATTTCTATTTGCATATTGAATTGTAGGTTTATTGTAACCCTCCCCTTATACCATCATGATAAAAGGAGAGGATTAATATAATCATCACACACTTTACAAACCAAAATACAAATACTCTGTTTGAAAGCTTGGACCCAAGACTTATTTTGAAAATTATCAAAATTCTTAACCAACTTAATACAAAATAGAGTATAGTACATCGAAAGAAAACATATGCATTCATTAGAGTCTTTACATGCTTTCAGAACAAAGAAATAAGGTTCAAAAATGAGCCATGAGCCATGGCATGTGGTATAGAGCCACAAATAGCTCCTCTCTGTGTCATGCATCGCAGCACACATGATAGTTTTTGCAACTGTCATTTGATATTTCGAAAGGTGAACTTCCAACATGCACCATTTCCATATATGATATCCGATCGGAGTGATTCAAACTCTCTAACAAAACTTATTTCATAAGCTAACTAATGAGAAAGTTTGGACATGATATAATGGTCCAATTAAAATTTAAACACTCGGGGTGCAAAAAGTTGCTTTTTTAAAAAATTTAACATACCCAAGCGCTCAAATTGATCGCATTGTCTCATTAAACCATTCTAGGCCTTGAACCAAGTTCAAAAGGACCTTATATACCTA